CCCCAAAGATGTTTCTTTGTCACTGTTGTAACCAGGTCTGGTCCAGCTGTGGAATATGAATTATGGATTTGGAATGTGTTCTCATGGCACTTTAGAACTCTGGTCAGAAACTGTAGCAAGCCGGGCGAACTATTCACCTCTATGACCAAATTTAATCTGCTGTTGGTGTGTTCACCGCAGATGTCTCTGTGCAGTCAAAACTTAATACAAAGTTTGGTGTGCTTTATAATAGCTTCATTGTATTGTTTTGTGATTTTTTTTGCATGAAGAGGGTACTCCAGCAACTTAGTAGTGCACTTGCATAAAGATGGGGACTCAGAGGAGACAGATTTTTAAAAAGTGTGCAAAACTGAAGCTGAGATATGACGTTTAGTCCTTAGTGTGTGCCAAGTTCCAAAATACTGGATCCTGCACTTTCCATAATGCAATATCAAAGCTTCTCTTTATTAGACACTTCCTGACTGATAAACACCCATAGCTTTCAAACTCTACAGCTCGGTACAGGCTTTTTCTTATATATTTTAAGTCTTTAAGCCCAAGCTGAGATAACCTCAGTGACACTGTGACATCATCAGGATGATTTTCTGAGACATATTCCAAAGCTAATGACACAGAAGACGTTAATTAATAGAGCTCAAAAAGAGGAGTAAACTGACTTTCATGTGTAAAGTTGCTGGAGTGCCCCTTCAAAGTGACAACAGCAGAAATGATGATATGGCTGAATTTTCATTTTGAGTATCCAAAATACGAAATTTTGTTTCATTCATAGTAACAAAAACAGTGCTCTGATATTACACCATATTAAGCTTGTTATGCAGGCCATGGTGATGGTCTGTATTATTTGTTGAACCACCAAGTAGAAAATAAAAGCACTACAATGTAGTTTCACAAGTTGAATTTTAAGAAGAAATAATTTAAAGTAAGCTAAACATTTAAACTAAGCTAAGTTAAACTAAGCTAAGATTAATCACAATGTAAGAATACCAATAAAACATAGCAGGGGCATATGTTACAGTTCTGTCTAGATTGATTAAATTAATAAGTACTATATTTTTCCTTTGTGTGATTTATGTACAGGAGCAGTAGAAGTGGGCTTCCCATGTCGACAGATGACGTGCAAGGTACACTGGGTGCATTGGTTCTGGGAAGCTGTGTCCACTTTTGCCTGTTATATGCATCGTCTGTTTTCAAAATACAAAACCACTGACCAAGTGCTGGTTTTCGATGACTTTGGGGTGAGGCTGAGTTGGTCAAAGAGCATTTTGATGCTGGATGTATTGCCAACCACCTGCTTTTAATAGTTTGAATGTATTTGTAACATTAAAGGTAAGGGGACATATTGGTAGAAACTGATTGCAATATTCATAACTATGTTTTTATCAGTTTCTAACCACCTGAATCTAAGAATCTTCATCTTTTAATTACCTTAGAATGAGCTCTTTATATCTACACACAGAAGGTCCTCTTCCAGAGTGTGCCATGTTTTTTTCTACAGTAGCCCAGTACAGACAAACCAATCACTGGCTCAAGAAAGGGCCATTAGCATTTTATGTTAGCATGTAGTATATAGCATGTAGTTCTCCTACATACTTGGCACCTGGGGGAAATTTCAGTTTGTTGCAATCTGCAACCTCACCACTAGATGCCACTAAATCCTAAACATTAGACCTTTAAGTATTTATGTTTTCATTCTTTAAATTAATCACAAAGTGTTTTAATATCAGCTGCTCTGCTTAGTTTAATGCATCCCTTTAACAGTCCCTCTAGGATTTCACAGATTGGTTTTGGGATTGTGGGATTTGGGATCTAAAGCCATCCCTTTTTAAATAGGAATTCTGAAAATTTGCAGGAAAGCCCACTCAGTCTTCGTTCAGCATTGGCAGTATAAAAACAAAATCAGGGAGTGCAGCAAAATGCCAACCTAAAATGCCTGATGCACGAACTAACACAGCTGCAGCAGCTAATATCCAACACTGAGCTATAAAAAGTCCTCATAATCTTACACCAACTCTGAAATGGCTTGACTCATAAAACCTGTTAATGTTAGGTAACAGTTATCCCTGTCACTGTGTGTGAGACTCTGTCCCAGGTGCAGCAGTGGTCTCACGATAAACAGAGAAAGAGAGAAGCTAAGTTCAACACACTGGGTGCAGTTCTACAATGAAATGAGATTTTATCCATTTTAAATAGTCATATTTGTGGCAGTTGCAGTGATTGGACAAAATTGCAGAATTCCTGGGGTTTGACTCAATAGGCATTCTTTTTTGCCATTACAACACCCTGGATGGACTGCTTTAAAGGTCAAAATCAAAGTTACATTTAGGTTTGTCACTATAAACAAGACAAGAATATTCCACGTTGTATTTTTATCATCCAGCCACACTGTCATTTCTGTTCCTGTCATTCTAATGCACAGGGAAATTAATGATGCATGGACAGTTTGGGTGAAGTTAACTATTTTTCCTACTCAACCAGAGTCACATACACTTTGACACATGAAAACTACCCTCTCACTGGCAAAAACCCAACTTCACTCCAATAATAAATCTCTCATCTTTAGAGATGATCTGTCAACCTTGTCTTGACAGAAGTGCTGATTGTTTCTGTAGATCTCAAGCATTTTAGCTAAGCAGCGGCTCCTGTTCTTTCATATAGCATGCACAGAAAAACGGGGACTCTGGGTAACTAGAAAAAATAGTACAATTCCCCTTGACTTGTATTCCTTTCAGAGTATAGTATAAAATAGAACACAAGAACCAGTTAAAGTAAACCATTAGTACACACTGAGAAGTTAACCCACACACTTTCTTTGTATCTGAGAGCCTGGTCACACTAACATTTATGACAGCAATATTGTCCACTAAATTCATTTCAAATGAAGGGAATTATAATAAGCAGTGGATGTAGTTGTGGCATAAACTGTAAAAATAATGTACGTATCCACCATGACGTCACCCATTGGTTTGTGGACTACTATTTCGAAGCCTCGGATTTGGCATTCAGCACATTCTTACTCCCAGCTCGTCACATATTGCCGCTTGGTCAGTGGACTTTAATGTCTATATATGACGCACTATATATCCTGAGTGCATCTGTTGTTGACTTTCTGGGACGCCATGTCACTTTACGCTTGTTACATGCATTGTGTCTTTTCAAAATACTTTAAAAAACTGAGATTTACATCTAAACACATTGTACATGTTAGAAAACATGTTGAAAATGTGCATAGATTGGGAACTATATTACTGAACTGTGGAGATAGACTGTTTATCACAAATTCTGTGTCCAGGATTTTTTGGGCGGGTATAAAAGCCTGCAGGATGACACAATGGTGCAACCAAATCAAAATGAACATTCTGTTTCAGACTGACAAACACAAAGTTCATTTTCAGGCAGGTCAGTGTCCTTGACTGATGACGACTGATGGTGTTATTAACTAACACCCCCCTCCGGTTATGAAAGCGCCACAAAAGGTTGCCTGTCTTTCATTGGTGTCTGACTTGGAAATCAGTGACCAAGCTGCAGTGTTTGACGACTACAGAATGAGACTGGGTTCTGGCTGTTGGATTTGGATTTTTGAAGCCAGAAGTGACCATATCTGTATGAGAGGGTAGAGCTGTGGAGAAGCAAGGGGTAGATCCAGCTCATAAACTGTGGGGACAGCTTGCAGACAGCGAGACAGCTCAAAATGAAGTTACTGTATGAATGAAGACTATATTCAACTGCCATTCTTATGCACTGTCTAATTAGGACAGTCTATAGTACTGAAACAATGCCTCTATTGTCATTTTGTTCAGGGAGCTTTAAATTAACTCTGGCTCCCTGGAGGCTCTTATTTGGCAACCACTTGATTCCTACTAATGGCTAGAGTCATAGCCCTTTGTGTCCAAAACTGTCTGATGGCTGTCTACACAAAGAGAAACACAGCCTCTGTATTTGTCTTTAAACAGCCAGAGGATCCTCTTATCTGCATCGCTACCAATTTCAAATTAGACTTCTCCAACCTGTAAATCTTGACATGGCCTGTCAAACCATCTATCACTCTAATGAAGAAAAAATGAATTTGAACATCTTAGAATTAGAAAGATTAAGTTATTTTTTTAATTGCCCAACTAGAGTAGCTACTTGAGAGATGCCATGACATTAATACTACACTGCACATTCAATTCAGTCTCACTCCTTCTTATAAATTATAGGGTCTTGAGTTAAATAGTAAATCTTTGAGCAGTTCCATAAAGCTCAATTCACTAAATCTATCTCTATCTTCACTAAATATTGCTTAAGTGTAAATGTACCCTGTAAAATACAAATCCAAGAGTGGATGTGCAGATCAAACCAAAAAGGGAGAAAACGTGTGACCTATGCACAGGAGGTGATCATACAAACACCCAACTCAAATCATTTCCCAACAGTATCAGGCATTATTTCCCCAGTAACAGTGTATTTGATCGTATCAGCACTTCATAATTCACTTGATGGCTTTCTATGTTACACAAGCAAGGGTTAAAAGAAAACTGTTTATTTACAACTTAATATTTGTAGTTTTGGTCATCAAAAGCTGAATTGCTAAAATACAGAGGGGGCAACCACACCAGCCATCGGACAGTTTTGAAACAAATCTTTGAATATGTTGTTTTTACAAAACTTGGTTAAAACCTGCCTGGTGGCTCCTGTTTGCAGTGCCCTGTGTAGTCCATGTGAGCTGACTGCTGAGTAAAAAATGATCACAACCAATAAGAATCATGTCCAAACCTATGGAAGTACATCTACATTTGTAAAATAACCAATTTTCCATTAAAATATTGTCTCCATTTTTAGTGTTCACCATAGTGGAAGAAAATACCAGTTGATCGTTACATGAAGTTCCTAACTTCAATGAAGAATAGATGGAGTGTGGAGATCAACAGTGATCATGACGGCCTCTTCTCCAGATGGAAGAGAGAGACTCTGTTTTTATATTACAACAGCCTGCAGTTCATACAGCCACGAGACCTGAAAGAATTACCTGTGAGTGCTGATGTGTTAGTTTGTGTGAGTGTAAACCGTTGTGTGATCCAAGTGTTTTGACACTACTACTCTGTGTGTGTGTGTGTGTGTGTGTGTGTGTGTGTAGGACTGTCCATCACCTCTGTACATGTTTGTGTAGTATTACAAGACCCACAGACGAAATCTTCAACATCTACCAAAAGTCAAACCAAGTCCTGTATGATCTGACCAAACCTGAAAGGCTGAATACACTCTGCCACAGTCTTCCTCCAACATTAAAGGTATACTGTACAGGAATTGTCCGGTCCTGTTTGTAAACAGTGTCGCCAGCTAAAGTGAAAGCCAACCCCACATTCACTCTGCTTGGCATATCGCCTCTCTATTTGCGTTTTTTTTGCGCTGTGTCTGCAATTTTCATAGCTTTCTCTTGGATGCATGCTGCTTATGGTTTGGCACCTGCTGCTACCTTTTCATAAAGTCCTAAACTCATCTGTGTGCTCTGCCCAGGAACAACCCATACTCATTCCCAGGACATTAAATACTGATGCTTTGACATGCCGTCTCAGTGTCTCATACCGACGCACAAAGCATCCTTTGTACTTAATTTCCACTAGCTCCAGTGAGGACGTACCCTATTGTGGAATGCACTTGATTGGATAAACGCAGTGCTAGTTGGGCGGTCCTTTTTTTTTTTTTTTTTTTGCTTGCCTTTTCAAACAGGAAATAACATGGTGGTCTGTTATTCCATCTAAACATCCACCAAAATGTATGTCTGGAAACATTTGAGATTCAGAAATGGGCAATGCCATTTCTGAATCTTGTTTAATTTTAGAACTACATCGCCTAGTTTGACAGCTTGGTTCAAATTTCACAAACCATCTGCACTGTGCTGGACGGACTCACTTGCATGAAATTGAATCTAGTCTACTTCATGCAAACACAGACCACAAAACACATTGCAACCCCGTCTCCAAACTCTCCGCAACACATCCTCTGTCAATGGATCTGGTGCAAATGTGCCGCTAGTGTCTGTATGTGATACACAGCTGTTACCTGTGTGAAACCAACACATTCTCACTCTGACCTCGTCACATATCGAAGTTTCGCCATGGACTTTCCATGTTGAGATATGACCTGCAAAGTACTCTGTTGGTTGTTGATGTTCTGGGACGCCATGTGAAGTTATGCGTGTTACATGCATTGTAAAGTCTCCCCTTAGAAAATAACTAAAATAAAGGGGAGGTTCAACATCCAGTTGCATTTTTTTCCCAACATCATAGATAAGAAAATGCACACGGTATGATAATCCTAACTTATAAATCACAGTATACCTTGAAACTGGTATATTGCTGCAACCCTATGCACTATGCTGGTACAACACCGCAAATTTACGTTTTTTACCTTAAACAACAAACGCAGGTCGTAACAGTTAGTTGGGTTTAGGATGAAAGAACAGGGTTTGGCTTTACATTCATACGGGAAGTGAACACTGGCTTCCCTGGTGGAGGTCGGTGGTTGCTGGACCCATCTACCACGCCTCTCACGTTTCACCCTTTTCATTTACTTTGTTGCCTGGCCGCGTTTCACCCTGACAGCGCAGGGTACCGTTACAGAATAAAATCTGATGCTGGAAGTCACTGACCAAACGGCGGTATTCAACGACTTCAGAGTGAGACTGGGGTTTTGAAACACGATGTAACACATGGTTAACATTGTCATACGGTACCCCTCCACCACCCTTTCCACCCACTATACAAAGAGTTGTTTGCTTGATTTATAGCATGTCCATTGTTCGCATCTTCTACATTGAAATTAGTTTGAGGCATCTCATATGCATCTCATAGAGACACTGAAGGGTGCCTTCAGTTTTGGCGTCACACACCGAGGGGGCATGACAAAGCATATGTATATGATGACCTGGGAATGAAAACAGGCCGCCAAGAAGACTTGACAACAGCAAAATAAGAAAATTTAGGCAAAGGGCAGAGTCTCTGCAGATAAATACACTGCCACACACTAAGAGTGGGTCATAAGTAATGATTGAGAAGGATTACTTTTGTATTGGTCTATACATTGTTTCATAGGAAATCCTGCATTGTACACCTTTAACTAAGTAGCTGACAGAAATCTTGGCACAAAGTCTATTAAGTAGCTGTTTTAGAGCTTGTGACCATATCACATGATCCCCTCAGCAGATGGAGAAGAAGTCCTTCAAATTCCCAGAAAAAAATGAAATAATTTGTATTTTAGTTCAGCTCAGATTTCCGATTATTTTCTCATTGTGGGGTGCACATTTCTATAAAAAACAGTGCAACATAACTGTAGCTGTGGCTTTATAAAAAGTAACAGCTGGTCTCAATTAGTAAAAGTTAGACACATGTATCAAAGACAGTGGTCCAACATGTAAAATCTTGGTTTATTAGAGGTTTGGACAGCTCCTACAGGTCATGGCCAACTGATGCAGACCTGTCTCCTACAAATTATGTTTACATACAACTAATCTGAAACAGCGAATATGTTTTTTTAGGGAAATATAATTATGAGCAAATTCCATTTTCTATTGCAAAATTCTAGCTGCAGAAGTGTTGACAGTGAACGCATCAGCAAAATGTTCTCTGACAACATATTTTATTTGTTTTCCACCAAAATAGGCAGTCATGCAATACATTATCCACTCATAGTGACTAAATAATTATTACTTTTATTAACTTTTTATTAACATTAAACTAAAAATCACCATTTTTCCCTAACCTTAACTAAAGTGTTTTTGTTGCCTAAACCAAACCACTAACAGGATTCTGGACACAAATCTTGAGTCATAGTCCTGCACTTTGTATGTCCACCATCCACCCCAACCAATTCCCTGCAAAACCAGCAAAGTACATAACTGTAGTTAAGAGTAACATTATCTGTGAACATAATCCAGGCTGTTACTATGAATGCAATTTAGTAATATACAGACGTAATTTCTAGGAGACACAGTTGACTGATGCTGAAGGGTACAGTATATTGGGTCTTGTGTGTCTTGGAAAGTCAAATGTACATTGGTTGCTAGGGATGTAACGCAAAGCCAATGTCCATATCTGGGGAGGGGCTGACACTGACATTTTAATTTGTCATGCACTTATAGTTTAGACTTTTTGTTATATAGCCTATAAATGTCATTTGTTTTTAACTCAACACTATTCAGATGTTTTTTCTTCAGCAGCCCTGATGTTTAGGGAGCTGCCCTATCTGTGTCACATATCTGTATTTGTATCTGTATCTGGTTTATATCAGAAGCTGCTAGGAATTTTCTAGTCTGCTTCATTTTTAGCATTAAATACTTTTTAGTGCTATTTATACTCCTCATATATATATCTAAGCTCCCTCAGCCCGTTAGCACACACAGTGGGCATCAATATGTGATTACGAGGTAAACACCTGTGGTACATCACTCAGACTTAATTCTGCACTGCACAACTAATCTGGTCAGAAGTGATGATATGATTCTGAAAAAAAAGAGTGAATCTGATCATTACGAGACAAGATCTGGTGAAGTTATAAGAAGCGCCTTCTTTAATGTCAGCGATATGGACAGCACTGTAAAGAGTGAATTCAGCTGATTACAGCAAGTTGTGTTTAATGTATCTGTGTTATGACTCAGAAGAATATTACTGCACAAATGTACGTTATTCGTATCTGTTCAGACTGCAGGATCTGTGCATATCTTAATTCAGTATTCAGATTTGGTTACACCCCTATAACCTTGGTGTGGACAACCATACATTTGTGTTTGTGTATGCTGTGTTTGTGTGTATTCTGCATGTCAACCCTGTGTGTATCCCTGGTAGTGTCCTCATAGCCTTGTCTGAGCCTCAGGGATATAAATCTCGATGCTGTCAGCGCTCTCCGTAGCTGAGTTTTGCCGTACGGAAGCGGCTCTCTTGGCGGCCATCAGGCGCTTCCTGGCCTCCTGCCGCTGCTTCTCTGAGCTCTCCAGTGAGCGGTCTCTGGCCAGAGGGGGGTGGTGGTGGGGGCCCTTGGGTGGCCTTTTTGGCACTGGAGGTGGAAGCCGCCTCTCCTGGTGGTAGAGGACGGTAGGGGGGGAGGGACATTTCAGGAAAAAGACAGATATGTGTTTGTATGTGTGTATATGTGTGTATGTACCTGTGATACCCATTGTAACTACCACCTATAATGTATCTTTAGTGGCTTTTGGTTTAATGTATGCCTATGCACATGTATGTATAACTGTAAGTAAAGAGGAGGCAAGATGAATCAGACATTCTGTATAGCTAGTTCTTTTTGATCATCCTCCACATTTTTAACATATTGCATCACACGCTGCCTCTGTAATACTGCAGCAACTTCACATGCTGTTGTTTTAAAGCCTTAACTTATTCCCTCCATGTGGTGGTTCACACATTGGTTCTATTTGCTCTATGATATAAACTAAATCTTGGTTGAACAACAATCTATCCACATGGGAACAGCTAAAATCGTACCAATTATACTAATGTATGTTTGTGTGTGACACAGTCTTGTATAGCCTGAGGCTTTCATATACATGCAAGGTAGGTATTTTGGTGTAAATGTAATTCATTGCTTGCAAGTATCCTGTGGTCGGGTCTGTTCCTGCACCTATATTATCTTTTCATTAACCGTGCATACATAAACCAGTGGCACCGGTTTCACTACTATGCTGATGACATAATGTCTTATCTTTCTACTGACACCACAAATGCCATTAAAGGATAATTCTGGTATATTGGGTCCTATTTTCATAATTCATCTATCATTTCTATCAGTTACAAAAACCCTGTAATCAGCATGGTAATTGCTGAGATCTGCCGTTGTTAAAACAAAGTCTGATGGGTCAAGAAACACCAGTGGTCAGCCACTTAGAGAGGTACATGTCTACCGTAAGTACAGGGGGTAAAATCTGAGGCAGGAATTGGGTCCGTAAACTGTGATGACTGTTTGAGTAATCATTTCAGTGTTCTCTCTCTTCCAAATAAGTCCAACTAACCTGGTGATTTGTTTCCAATGTATGATCATCTCCTTGCCCATGTTTCTTGACCTGTCTGACTTATTTTTTTTTACAAATTATTGCCACGTTCCTAGATCTCAGCATTTAACTTGCTGTCATAACTGACAGAAGGAATGAGCCAAAACCAGAAATACAAGATCACAGCCCAGTCGCCAGAAGAAAATGTTCACATTGTACCTCTCTGAAAACCATTGACATGTTACATTTGCAGGTCACATACGTATCATATCAATGTTTCTAAAGTGAGCCTACTTTGTCATCACAAGGTGGAGGGGTTGATTTGACACCTAGGCGAGATGCCTGCCAAGCTGCAGACCACTGCTGACCACTGAGCAAGACCAACAAATAATAAAACCAGTTGGGTTTTAGTGAGGAATTGCTGTGTTTTCAGTGGCTTTTTAGCCTACAAAAGGGTGTTTTTTAGTGACCGGTCACTGTGTTTTTTCCAGTGATGGTAGTGGCATGACAAGTGGTTGTTTTTTACGGAGACATTGCTGCATTTTCTGTGGGGATTATGCCCCCCAAAATCACGTAATTTAAGCCAAAGCATAATATTTTCCTAACCATAACCAAAAGGGTTTGGTGCCTAAACACGTTAACCACAGCATTGTTTAAATGTACATTTTCAATAAATCTGCTACATAATAATGTGCAAATGTAACATATCTATGGTTTGCAGAAACATACAATTCCAACATTTATTCTAGCAATTGGGCTGAAGATCCAAGTTGTAATGTGCCAGATACAAGGACCTAAAAAACTAGATGTCAAAAAATTCCTAGATTTGAAAGTTAAGTATGAGAAAATTCTGATCGCCCCTGAAACTGCTTGTGATCAAAATTCTATATTTCTTAATATTGTCTAGCCATGACACTGCACAGCTAATTCAGAAGACAGCAGCCAGGTTCCTCATGAGAGCCAGGAGACTGAATTAGCTGCTCTGATTTTAGCTTTCGAACCACTGCACCCTGTGACATTCTGTATTCACTTATTTATTTTATTCTCATATTAATTGCTGATTTCAAAATGATACGCTGTACTGAGCTGAGCTTTTGTCCACACAAGTCTGGGATCACTTTAAGATGAACTTGAAGGGTCAGTATGGCCATCTACAGACCAGCCTGAGTACTAATGCTGAATTTCCATATTCCAGTATGTGACTATGCGTTTCCAGATGCGTAGATAGCGAAAGAGTGACCTGCCCTACTTTCCCTCTAATTGGCTAGTACTTGTTGTCTTTGTTGGTTGGGTTTGTTAGATGTAGTCAATAGGAATAACATTGGTTATGGTTAAGGTAAGCCAATCAGAGGCAGAGTAAGGCAGGGTAGGGTGAGTCATGCTTTTGCTATACTAGGAAATGCAAACTTGCACCCAGTGCAGCTCACATTATCTGGACTGGACTGTATCATCACAGCAAACCATTATCATCCTGACCTTCACAATATGGAAGACAAAGGTATCCCAAAAATATTAAAATGCATTACTGGGTGAAAAAGTTAGACTTGTCTCTTCCCTATCGTGTAATAAATCCCTCATGTCATCTTTTAATATTACTTTTGTTTCATGTTAGCAGACTTAACTTTTTACTGGTGTTCTAAACTTGGTTTTAGTTTAATCTCCTCTGAAACTGTTGTGTAAGCAGTGTGCTCTAAGATCTATTTGTGGAGAAGGAATATTCGCCATACTCTGTCCTGTCCATCTATTTTGACTCTGGCAGCTACAACACACACATGAAAAAGCCACACACGGTGAGGTGGCCGTGGGGCGCAGAGGGAAGGAAGGGCAGAAGGAAGCGTGGACATATGGATGGAAAGACAGACATGATGGATCTACGGAGGCCCAGAGGTGTCAAGGCCCTGTGGTGTTGTTGGCATTGCAGTTATGCTGATTGATGCGTGGCTGTTTGCAAGCGCCTTCACTGTCAACACAAAAAAAGCACAAGAAAGAAAAAGACAACAATGAGAGCAAATGAGGAAGCCAGCAGAGTCAATATACACAATGATGCAAAGCCACCACAGAAACTGCTGAAAGAGAGCAACAGAGCAGAAGAAGGACATCTGAAAGAGATTTACAGATACACTTAGAGATATGCAGAAGGAAGAGTATCTGTATCACCACAGACACCAAGTCAGACAAGCATGCACTTAATCTGCACCATCAGAGAAAAGCTGAGCAGCACTGTGAGGCTAAAAACAAGGCTTTCTTTGCTTATGTCATGGTCATGTGTGTAAAGATTGTTAATTGGCCAAGATAAGCGTAAGTGAGTCTATGCAAAACCTAAACTGTCTCCTTGTTCTTTTGCCACATGGATTCACCACCAAACCCCCACTTAAAGGTAGAATAAGAACATATGTGCAGATATGGTACCATTCAGAATGACTGCTGTCACTAATGCAGAGGCATGCTGAGTGCGCAACTAATGTCTGTCATCAATCATCATCAATCAAAACACATTTTTAAAAATGGAGGTAAGCAGAGACATTCACCAAACTGCGTCATTGCGAGTTTTGCAAAATACAACAAAAACAAACTATGGCCATGGAGCAGGCAATGCTTTTTTGTGGTACCTGGATGAACTGTACTGTATATGTCTTTGGCTGATTACAGTGTGGCATCAGTCAGTGTATTCTGTCACTTCAGGCTGAATTCTGATTGGGTGGGTTGTAGCAGCAGTCAAAGCACATTGAGAATATCGCCTGAAATTGGTGACACTTTGAGGCAGGCCTTCTTTGGTCTCAAAAGTTTTAAATCAAAAGCAGGTAAACAACTTAAGATTGGTTCTCTCATGGTTGCTAACTTTAGTCTAAAGCCCCTTTCAGACATGTAATATGTAAGATGTTGATGAGATGCTTCATCTGTCTGTCAAAGTGGTGGCTTTTGGTCAGTCAGAGAGATGTGGATTTTACGTTAAAGTTCCTTACGGCTTTATTTCGGGCATGAGAGTACATTTACGGAAAGTTGGGTTGATTTTCAGTACAAGCTTAATACGCTTTGGTTTTATGCAAACCAGCTGTACCGACATTTGTTATTATGACACGTTTTGGCAAATTAAAAAGTAGCCTACATCAGCAACTTGTGCTAACAGCCTCACAGCGCTAAATCCAACTTACATTTCATTAGTAGCAAGAAGTATGACAACATGATAAACATACTATTATGTTTATAAATGGAATAACGGAACCACTAGTTTCTGACAGGCCATGAACCGAGCACGGCAACATGAAGGAGATCAAATTCCAGTAGAGGAGGGAAGGGGGAGAGCAGCGCACATGGTGTTTAATTACTACAAAGTTTTGTGTTTTTTGGGGTGACGAGATGAGACATAGCAGAATTAGTCTCTCCAAACTGCACCAAAATGGCAACATTTTGGATGTAAAGCCAATGACAGAGGTGTCCTAACTGGCCCAAAACAATGTGGTGCACTGTTTAGAGCTGAACTTTTGTCCAACGGCCTGTTTCTATTCAACATTATCCTCATAGAACGGTTCATATGATATCCTATGAAAATGCAGACACAACAGTTTGTATGATATTCTATAAATTAGTGGCCCACGAATGATGTTATGTCCTTAAAGGGACATTGTGTAGTGTTTTCAGTTGTTTATTGGCAAAAACTGATGTCTGCATTCATAAATATGTCATCATTGGTGCACTATTGCCTCCACCAACAATCTGACTTATTCTCGTAAAAGAGAAGAGAAGATTTGTTTGGACATTGTGCGGGCAAGTCGTCTGGGGGGTTCCATAACGTTTCGCCATCTTGAAAATACATCTGCCAGCAAGGGACATATAGCACTACCAGGGAATAGCCCCGCCTTCGTTCACACGGTTTTGTACACCAATTTCCTATTGAAAGTCCTGGCAGAAAATCTTGAGTTTTGTGACCATCCACCACCCCAACCTGCCTCCTAACTAGACTGCTCGGACCACTTCTTTCTGTACTCCTATGAGCACAATGGTCACGTGAATGCAACTATCCAAGATACGTGGGTTATGTTCGAATTACTGGCTCCTCACCATGTGTGATGTGTGTGAATTTGGTGCATAACTTTTTCGTTGGAAAACCTACAAACAGCAGGTAAAAGAAGCCTGTTCTATTTATTTCTGTCATTTGCTTTGAAAGCACCTCAATGGATGAGGAACAGCTGGTTCATGAAGTTGAAATGGTAATTTATCTAGAAAATACGTCCTAATTTCACCACAAAAACCTAAATAAGGTGGCAGCTGGCCGGTGTGAGATTGGCAGAGAGCTGAAGGTTTCTGGTTTATGACCATCGCTAATAATAACCTCCTTGCTGTTGGCTGTATTGTTTGTCATGTCCAATTAATATCACAATATAAAACACATTTGTCTACACCATAGGAAAATAGCAAGTAGGCTGGTCATCCATCTTTTAAGTGGTTATGTCGTCAGTATGATCTCAAGCGCACAGCTAATAATTACATGGTTTGTTTACATGACGTCAGTGATGCTGATGAGAGCTCTGACATTACTTGATACAATAGTTGGACACTTATTTGCCATTGGGTCAAGGTGTCATGATGTTCCACTTAGAGACGGTTACTGAGTCGAGTGTGACACCCTGTTTACCAATCCGGTCCTATGTATGTCTTAATATCAAACCTGTTTTAAAATGTTTACACCGGCCCAACCCTAGCAGAAAAAGCCACAGTACTTGGTAATATTTAGCACCTGGTGTGTGAGAAAGAACTGAGAGAAAAAGGTGAGTTAGAAATGTTTGAGAGTGCAACAGAGTGCTTTCTGTTCTCTTGCAGGCTGCATCACTGATGTACTTTTGGCATGCAAGCTTTAATTAATGACCATTGTGGGGACACTCATAGCAAACACACCGATACATTTTCACATCATTTTGATTATTTAACATCACAAGAGAGGGAATTCTCCTGCTTGATTTATAATATCTGACAGCACACAGGCACTGAATGACAGGACATTTAGTCTTGTTTGATACTTACTTGCTCACATGCTGTATTTAAAGCGATTCATTGATGTAAAAGTGACCTGGGTGCTTGTTCAGACATGCCGTTAGTTTGCCATCGGATTAATGTAAAGGGATGCATTTCTGAAAGGGGCTTAAGACACTCCACAATCTTAACAGTGTATATTAGGGACCTTAAAATGAACATTTCATGCTGTTACAGTAGCTCAAGTAACTAATGATAAACAGGTACATGCCTTCACTGTGTAGTTTTTAGTAAATCTGAAGCTGACTGCCCTAAATATAAAGACCACATTTTGATTATCATTTCACAAAATTTCTTTTTATTTCATGTTAGATACAAGCCAGGTTGGAAATTAACTTTCTGTTCACGGCCTCTGCGACTGGTGAATTCCAATTTCTACCAGCCACTCAATAGATTACCCTTGTTTTTTTGGCTGGTGACTGAAGCAAATCTAGCAACCACTTGCATATTTTACCAGGATTTAGCTGGTGCTAATTTCCAACCATGCTTTTGGGAACAGATTTTTTTCCCTCTGATCCTGGTGAATAATTATCTGACTAACACAATTTGTCTTTCCATTGGGTGTACCTGAATTGATTCCAAAGCACTGGAGTGGAAGCTAGGTGAAAAACAAGACTGTTCAGTTTTAGAGTAAATGAAATTTGGAAAAAGCAGAGCAGTAAAATATCTCTTTGGGTACCAATAAACAGAAGAAATTTCTTGCCAAATGAGACATTCATATAATGACTCACATTCATAATAGCCATGAAGTGAAAGATCTAGCACAATATTAAACCTTCTATTCAGATGATGGTGTTCTCTCTGGACAACCAGTCACCATACTGGAACTTATGTGTGTGTGTGTGTGTTGGTGTGTACCTTTCTTTCAGGGGGATCCAGGGGTCTCCAGTTGTTGGCTCTGAGCTGGTGGAGCTCATCAAACTTGAGGCTGATATTCTCGATTGACAGCTGAAGCATATCCCAAAAACCAGCCAGGTCTGAGGCCACAGGACGAGGGTGGGCTTTGGGGTTCTAGGGACAGCAGAAAAGGAAGAGAAGGAGGAGCAGAAATAGTATCAAAGCTGAAAGCCAGGGAAGAGGAAGATAATAGTTTTAAATAGATTTAAATTAAAAGGTGTAACATCAGTGTAAACAGCTGACTGCATGTTGTCAGTTTGAGAGTTTCAGACTCACCAGATTCTCCTCACACAGCTCCCTGAACTGCTGAAACTTCTGGGACATCAGTAGCTGAGCACTTCCCACAGCACTCCTCATCTTCCCGAGGACTGAGAGCAAACACACAGAACAGAGAAAGAGACTAACCTTCAGTACATCCATCTGTTCTTGAGAAAATGTACAACATGTTCTAAACACATTTTGTGCTGGTGCATTTATTTGTTTATGACTCATACCAACACCATTGCTAGACATGTGACAACAAATACTGATGCTACATTTAGCCATTTTTGACCTTGGGGGCTTTTCTAGGAGCTCAGGAACCATGAGGCACCCTGGTACTTTATCTGGTTGTGGATATACAGTAGGCTTTAATTCCCTTCTCACAAAACAACCCTTCTCCTGAAGTTGAATTTTCGGCAGGGACTATATGGGTGGACTTTGCTGTACTGGCCATACACTAAACACTAAGACTTATTTTTCCATGTTAATATCTGTAATGTTCTTTATAATGCGCTTTGCATTATTGCAGTGTTCACAACATGCACCCAGTGAGGAGACATTTCTTTATATTAAGGGGTTACTAAAAAGGTGGGAAGCCACTGCTCTGTGTGATTGCCTTTTCATAGTAATGTATTTCACTTTTAATTTTTTACAAATATATAATAATATACTAATGTTAGATTTCAGGGCAAATAAAATGTCATCTTTCTTCTCAGTAACATTCATACTTTAAACCTAGACATAACAAACGACACACACAAAGACATACTATCTTCAGGCAGGTCATTCTCCCGCTGGTCGAGCTCCATCTGTAGACACCAGCCCTCCATGCGGTCTGTCTCTGCCTGCAGCAGCTTCAGAAACCAGCGTCCATCTCTGTGACACACCGACCGCTGCACCACCTGCCATTCAAACATTCAGACTTTCACAAACATGTACCCGCATTCCCTATCATGTATCCAAGCCAGTAATGTGGAAAAATCATAAAGCTCACATAAGCTATGTCTTAAAAGTTAATACTATGCTGCCTGTTATAGATTTATAATTTGCAAGAACAAAATTCTCAGAGGGGCCTTTAACAAGAAGACTAACTCACAACTTATCAAAAACATATTTCAAGAAAAAAATGTTGCACTCTTGTAATCTTATAAGTGTTCAGGTTTTTATCACATAATATACTTGGTGATTAGCTAGCCAGTGGGATATACACACACAGGGACTCACATGAACTAACATGCTGGGGGGATGTGACCTAATACTCTGCTAAGGACACCATTACTCCGCTATATATTTACATAGCAAATGGCCGTTGGCTGCTATATTAATGTTCTGAATGTTGCACACAAAATCTTTAAAGGCAGAAAAAAAGGATCATTGCCATGACCCTTCCCGACCATTTCCCAATAAGGTATACAGTCCTCCTCCATTGGTTCACTTTCCTTTCTGTAAGGTCTGCAAGTCAAATACTGGACTCATGAAACTTGTTTGAGTTTTATAATCCATAATTAATCACATTTTCCAATTTTATGTTGGAAAAGTAATACCGTTTATGAGGAGATTGATTTAAAATACCTGCACCACTACTATTTACAATGATGCAACAAATGTCAGTGCTGACTTGTTTACTGTGATGGATTTAACAACTAAAGCCATTTTCCAGAGTCTGTTAAAAGTGCACTCTGGAGTTTTAGACCCCTAGTTTTCAGATGTTATTATTTTACAGCACCTTGTACACTTAAGAAATTCTCTCTGTCTTGGTGAACTTTCCTTCATTGCAGCCATCAATGTAACATCATCTGCTGTATAATATTCTCTTTATCTTTACTAGTGTCACCTCCCCATGACTTTTTCCCATAACGTACACATAACTTAGTGTACAGGACTCAACACAGTATAACTAAATTTTACACTGTAACAAACAAACAAGCAATTAATAATTAAATAAATAATGGAAACTAAGGGTGCCTGGAACAGTTGAGTACATTTTAATTTCTAAAACAAGTTAAACAAATTAGTTATGTAAAGTGTGTTTTTTTTCATGCTAGAAAAGTCTTTTTTACATAAGCATATCCATATAATTTTGGAAAAAAAACTAAACATTTTTAAATAATGACATTTTGTCATGGTATTTAAAGTGGTTATGTGGTTCAGTTTCTTATCGGTGAGACTCATGTTTTAAATCAGGAATAACTGAATTTTTGTTTATTAAAAGGTAAATTCTATAAATGCAACACAGACCTACTGCTGTATTACTATCTTTTAAACAACCTCCATTGATGTTTTTTGTTATGCTGTGATTATAAGATATAAAAGAGAAACTTAATATTCTAGTTAATGATGAAAACAAGCTACATTTTTAAATAGAAATAACATCCCTGAAAATACTGAAACATTTGGACAATACAGGGCAGCTGGCCCCCTCTGCTATCAAAAACAGAGTCAGCTCACTGTTGGAAAGCATGTTTTGATTACTTGACATCATTTGATGATTTAGTATTACAAGCAACAATTTAACAAAGGCACCTTTTACACTTTACACCTCAAGTGTCTTATGCCCAAATAAATTTTATCCAATTTTATTGGATAAAATCTAAACAAACAAACAACCAACCAACCAACCAACCAAACAAACAAACAAACAAACAACCAAAAAAGATAGAAATCTGCAAAATACGATTGGCCAGAATCAACCAAAAGGGTCCTTTCCCCCTCACCTATGTGAGGCTGTGGCTATGTGAGCATGATGGTGTAGGCAGATATATTATAGAGAGCGATGCTAACAGCTAGCCATAAAAAAAGCTGAAAATGTGATGCAAATGTTGTCAATGATATTGGTAAATTGCTAAAAAAATAGACAAGCAACTCCTGCTTCACTTGTGGTAGAAACAGACAGTGGTGAAGCAGGTGCAGCAAAAACACGCCAGTACAACAGTTACTAACGCTTGGCACCATACTAATGGTAGTCTTGAACTTCTGCAAGAAGAACAAACTCATGCTCTAAGCCCCACCACTCATGCCCTGGATAATTTGTGGACTGAAAAACCCAGCCAAGTAATTTCAGCAAAGTTTCCTACTCGTCGGTTTTTGGGAAAAGTCTGTACTTCAGTGTTGATGATGCGGTTCATGGTGTCAAGCTGCTGGAGGCCAAGTATGCTTCAAACTTTTTATTTTTAAAAGTTCCTCCCACTCCACTAGAGAACTTGTTGGTAAGTTAAAGTATTGTCTAATAGGCCAAATTGTAAGAGTGAATTTATTTGTATCATATTGGCGGTATTGCTCCATAATGGACAGTAGGTCAGTATTTTTTTCCTGGAGAACTACTTCATGTTAAATCAGATTATTTTAACCAGCAATTTGGTTTATAATGATATCCCTGGGCTGGTGGGCACCGGGGTGATTGATCTAAAGTTTTTTCTTGAAATGGAAGACTTTCCAATTAGTGCTGTAAAAGAAAATCCCCATTCACTCAAGTGACTGAAGTTATTATCTTCTTCATAAAAAATACTAACTTCTGCCAACTACAAGCAAATGACAACAACTTTACTTGGAAAAAAAGCCAATCAAATCACAGTGGGACAACAGGCAATCAGCAACACTTAGAATCAAATTTGTGCCATTTGCTTTCACCCAAAGGTTTTGGGTATGCATGATGTTGTTTTCCCCTGGGGCACTTGACATTGCGAGTATGGGGCTATCCCCACAGAGTAACCTCGAATGAAACACCATTTTAAAAAATCATATCCAGTCATTGACCTTAAACTGTATGACAATAAGTTCCTCTGTACCACTGAAAGCAATAGATTGGGATTGGCCCCAAATGATCTATCACCTCTAGTCATTTCTTTTAAATTTAATATGGAAATATTCATTTGTGCAACTTTAACATGTGCTTAACATTATGAAAGCATGGAGAATTAGTAATTGACTGGAATTAATTAGTGAGTGAGAACAATATTTCTGCCATACATTTGTAAGAATTTAATGCTGTGTTCATGTCTTGAACGTTCCTGGACCTGTTATTATAATGTCACTGAATATGCTACCACATACCTCCAGAATAGCAGAGCTGTTGAAGTTGACATCAAGTGAGTCATCTGTTACACTGTCTATCCAGGGGTCTGGTGGGGGAAGGATGGACGGGTCAAAGCCCACATCATCATAGTCATCGGAGGCACAGGCGTGGTAGTGATTCCCTGAGCCCTGGATGCTGACGGTAGAGGTGGCAGCATCGCGGGAGTATTGTCGAGAGATGGCACCAGATGACAGGACTTCCATGTCAGTGTCTGGGGAATCTAGTGGGGTGTCAAGCAGGTCCGGCATGTCCAGATCTGCCTGGATGGAATCATGAATAAAACTCAATAACTGACTGAATGTAGGAATAGTATTTGGATTGGTGCAGGTCTGGTAAGTATTAGTCTGACCACTAAAGACCCACTTGCTTCCAAATTAAATTCAGTCTAACTGGGTCAGTTAGAACATGTAAAGCTGGCTGTATCAACTGTGATCAGGTGGCACATCATAATGTTCAGAACCTTGGTGTACCTCAGCCCTCTGTTCAAGAAACCAATTTTTATTTCTACGCTAATGATACTCTACTGTATGTGCCTGTGAAGGCAAATAGATGATCGTGATACTTTTTACTAGTGCTGGGCGGTATGCCCATATATTTGTATCACAGTCTTTTTTTTTAGATTTTGACAATTTCACGGTATATCCTGTTTTTTTGTTTTTTTTTGCATGACTGGGCCTCTATATAGGTTCAAAGTACCTTATTCTACTGTCAGTAGTACTGTATTCATCAAATCAATGACTGGATGTGCCAGAATTTTATCCAGCTAAATCCAGAAAAGACAGAGGTATTAATTTTTGGCCCTAGAAATGAAAGGGCAAAGATCAGCGCCCACCTTGGCTCTATGTCATTGACAGCTACAAATCAAGCCAGAAATCTTGGTGTTATTATTGACTCAGACCTGAACTTCAACAGCCATTTAAAGTTTATTACTAAATCTGCCTATTACCACCTGAAAAATATAGCTAGAATTAAGGGGTTTCTGTCTAAACAAGACATGGAAAAACTTATTCATGCATTCATTTTTAGTAGGTTGGATTATTGCAATGGCTTATTTACAGGCCTTAACAAAAAATCAATCAGACAGCTGCAGCTGATTCAGAACGCTGCCGCCAGAGTCCTTACAAACACCAGGAAACTGGACCATATTACACCGGTCATTAAATCGCTACACTGGCTTCCTGTGAGTCAAAGAATAGATTTTAAAATCTTACTGCTGGTCTACAAAGCCCTAAATGGTCTCAAAAATACATGCTTGATCTATACAAAATACATGCTTGATCTACTGGTTCCCTACAAAGCATCCAGACCCCTTAGGTCATCCGGAACTGGTTTGTTGTGTGTTCCAAGAACAAGAACCAAGCAAGGTGAGGCAGCATTCAGTTATTATGCTCCTCACCTGTGGAACAAACGTCCTGTAGATCTGAGGTCTGCTCAAACTGTCAGCTCCTTTAAATCAGGGCTAAAAACACTATTGTTTACTGAAGCGTACTCTTAGATTAAATACTTACCTGCTGTATTCTACTGCCCGTACTTTTTAACTACACACTGCTGATTTATGCCTTTTATTATTCTACTTCTTTTCTTATCCTGACTATTCAATGTATTGAGCCTGTTTTTATTTTATGTTACTGTATTTTATTATTATCACTATCATTCTCAATTTCTATTTCCCTTTCCCTTAAATATTTTTTTTATGTGCAAACTGCAGCATAGAAAAAAAAACAACTTAAAATTTATATGTCAATAACTTAAACACTGCTTTTTTTAAACAAAATATTTCATTGTAGTGAAACACAGTAATCAAAGCCTTTAGTATGAACAGAACATTTTTATATTTCATGTACTCCTGACAGAATAAGCCACAATAAACATATATACTCAAAGCATTTAGCAGTCAAAGAGATATTTCTCAAATACTCTATTGTATAAGGAAGAAACAAGCCAAACATTAATTCACATTACTTTATGAAGTATTATTGCACTGTTAAGACATGCCTGGAATCCTGTGTTTTAATCATTGCTCTGAGCTGCTCTTTCTCAACTGTCTATAGTGGGACCATGTCCTTGCGTAGGTGGAACCAAAGGGTCATGTGATACAAAAAGCAAGTGGAGGAGCAACATTATAAGCATAATAATACTAAGATAGATGGAGGATCCACCAACTCCCTTTTCAGTTCTTCAAAATGTACTGTAGCAATAGAACTTCTCCCAGCTATAAACAAATTGTTATGCCAACTGTCTAGCTGGCGAGCAGTAAATTACTCAACATGCCATTTCGCAATGTAATTCTGTAAATGTACAATTACTTTTTTTGTTTTGTTCTAAAGTTAAAGCCATTAATAAGAAAGGTATGCAGATGATAGGGCTCCCCTCTCCCATTCAGTAAAGTGGTTCATTATCATAGTGCTTTCCTGCTTACTGATGCACTCACGGGACTGTCCTAGTTATGCAGCTGTATGATGGTATATGAGTAATTCATATCACATGGAAAGTCAAAACTAGTATACCAGTTCACAGCACTGCTTTTTACTCACCCTCTCTTTGATCTACAGTAAATGTTAGAGATATCTAATGAGAATTCTTTTCCCCACTTACTAAGCGTTGCTAAAAGAGATTTATTTCTGTCCATGGCTGATAAAGAGACCCTGATCTATGCTTTTGGTTTGTCCAGACTAGATTAGTGTTGTTTCTGTATTTGGATCTGTTTGGGTCAACACCATATTGAATAGGTAAAGGGTAAATCAACTTGCACTTCTATAGCCCCTTTCTAGTCTTCCGACCACTCAAAGCACTTAAACAATACACGTCACATTCAGCCATTCACATGCTGGTGCTGCTGAAGCTACCATATAAGGTGCCACCTGCTACTCAGTTTATATGCACTCATACACAAATGGAACTTCAATGAAATACCCTTATCCTTCAAACACCGAAAAGATGTGAGAGAACCCATACAGTGGTAAACTCTCAAAAATAAGAAGACACAAAAAAATGCAGCATTCATGAAAGTACACATTATACTGGGAAGATATTTTTACATTAGATAGTGATCAGAGAACGCACCCATCTGCCAAGGCTCCACAATCCTCTAAACTGTAATTTATCAATAGAAAATAGTATGAAATATGTGTTTGGCTTTAGATGAAAACATACATATTTTGTTAACCAAGAACAGTAGACAGACAGGACAAAAAACACAAGTGCCATGGGGAAGGTAATGATTTGAGCTGAATAACTCAATAACAACAGCTGTAGTGGGAGCTTACCTGTACAGCTGCTGTCACACTGTTGGAGCGCTGGAACCGGCGATACCTGACCACAAGAGAGAGACAAACAGAAGAGACTAAACACCAAGATTTTTCCATGTCTGCTCTGTTACCAGGCAACAATTTCATGAGTCAAGGATTTATTTATCACATACTCATATTTCTCATCAGTGGTTGGGATAAAATAAGGCAATTGGTTCCAGGGGACAATTCACAGACCCTAAATGAACAGGCAGACTTGGGCACCTTCCCGGAGCAACTGGAATATTCCATTTACATGTTAATTGACATATTCCCATGTTTCGGCGTATTCCAGAAAAGACCCTGGGCTACTGGCCTACCAGAAACGCTCTTATTTAATGCAACACTCAACCTGCGGTGGGCAGCAATATGCCTATAGGCGTCTGGTCTGCCGGAAATACAGAAGAAGAAGAAGAAGAGGCAGCAGGAGGAGGAGGAGGAGGAGGAGGAGGAGAAGAAGAAGAAGAAGAAGAAGAAGAAGAAGAAGAAGAAGAAGAAGAAGAAGAAGAAGAAGAAGAAGCTGTAATGTTTGTTTCCAACATACCCTTCCATTGTGTTGTCCTACTTTAAGATGACCAGATTTCTGAGATGAAAATCGGGGACATTTTTAGTGCGGCGGTGAAAAATCATTAAATATTATCATTATGAAATAAAAAACGGGGACAAGTACTTTTTCATGTATTTTGACTAGCTTTTATTACAAAAAAAGGTTCAATCAAACAAATGAGTGACATCACCAACCATCCATCCACTGAGGAAGACAAAAATATCTTAATCTTATTAGTTTGAGTTAGGATGGATTTTTTTGGTCAAAGGTTTCAACTCATAACTGAATACTGAACTGATATTTATGACACAAAAGGTGGCAATCAAAAAAAGGGATGACATCACCGTGATCCCCTCATTCATCCACCTCCGTAGCCTCCGCCTCAGGAGCCTGGGTAGAATAAGAGCAGAGGAGAACATGAGAAAAACTGCAAGAACAGAGCCAATAGTAAGTGAATAGTTTCTTAAAGAAAAAAACATCAGTTTTGGTAATATACTTATATAATTTAGTCATTGTGCTCTTTTTTATATGCTCTCTGTAACTGCCTCTGTTTGAAATGTGCTACATCAGAGGTTCCTAAACCTTTCAGACCATGTATCACTATGTACCAAACCAAATTTCCAAAGTGCAACTTTCTACTGCAGATATGATTTTTTCATACAATAAAAATAACTGTATCCCCCATGCAACAGCATCAGCAAGGCTAAACAATAACAACAAAATGCTACTTTATTAAAATCAAACAATAGCCTACATTTATAAAGTGCACTCACAAAATAAAGAGATAATATTGTCATCTCATGGTAATCTAATATAACAAGTTACACCTTCACCTTAACAACAGTGACATACAAAACAGTGACATAGGGCATCATCTAATCAGATGATCTACATTTATAACTACTAAATTCATTGGATACCCACACAGCAGTGACTGGTGCCAGCCCGACACAAAATAGGGGAGACCGGGGGCAACTGTAACAGGGGGCAATTGTAACATCTTAAATTGCCCCAATCAGAAATGAGATACAACCATGAAATTCATTATGCACTTGCTTTTTGATGATCCCTCTCTGCCTACCAAAGGAAAAACTAATATCTCATGCATTTCTGATTTTATCTGATAAAACTCATTTTTGAGATATGAAATTTTTTTTTCATCTTCAGAATTTTTCTTATTCCGTCTTAACCTTTAATGTCTATTAATTGAAACACATCTAGTTTTGATGACCATTTTGTTGGCTATCATTTGCTATATTTGTCATATGTTAACTTTGTTGTTTGTAGCAGCAGGCAGCTTTGTATCATGAGTGGTGAATCGGGGGCAATTGTAACGCTGTGTTACAATTGCCCCCAACACCATCAAAATGATGTCCAGTTCAGTAACACCCTTAAATTAGATGATTTTTTTCCCCTTTATAATGTAGAAAAGTTATTTATATTCAGTTTATACGTATATTTATCTCTCTACATTTTTCGGCATAGTCCAGTGATTAAGTATTTTGCCTCTCAATCTGAGAATCTGCGAGTCAAATTCGAGAGCCAGTTTCTCATGCCCTCAAAATCTTAGGCCTAAATGTCCATGAAAAACTTGAGCCATTTAATTAGCCTATCAGGTTAATAATAATTTTCAACTTAAAAATATTATCTAAAACGGCACTAATCAGTAAAGAGTATTCAGTCTTGTTTCTGCTTCGGCCATATCGGTCATTTTTTACCATATCGGTATCGGTTTATCATAACAATATATCAGTAGAGCTATATCGGTATGATTCTTTTTTTGATTTATGATCCAACTTTTTCACAGGTGTCAGTTAAACTGGACTTTCATTAAGTTATACAAGTTGTAAATATAGCCTAAAATTAACAGTGTTGGTTACTTGTGTTTTTTATAGTGGCCCTGTAAATTGTTGAAAGAAAACAATGAACAATGAACAATGAATGAATCTATTTTTGACTTTTTAATGTTGATGAGGCGAGTGTTTTTTATTGTTATTATACATTACTTTTATATGATATTAAATGGTTTTAAGTATATCTGCATTCTTGGGAGTTTACTTTGGTCCTTGGTATTGATATAAAGGTATTAAGTGTGTTGTTACAATTGCCCCCGTATGCGTAACAATCTCCCCCGCATGTGGAGGCAATTGTAACATTTGACTTCTAGTGTTTGAATCAATATTGTGACCCAAATGTTTTTTTGTAAAAACATTTAATTACTGTTAACAAGTAGAACATAGACACAAGTTTCTTACACAAAAAAAATATCCAAATAGCTCAAGCGTTTTTTTAGTTATGACATCAAAACGTGTTACAATTGCCCCCGGTCTCCCCTACAGCAGTTAACACACACAACTATTAACCATTTACTTATTATTTATTTATTATTTTAACACAGTCTCAGGTCCCTACTCCTCCAGGAAAATCATATGCTACCAAAGCAGTCTTCCATCTCCTCCTTTTCTAAAACAGAGCCACATACAATGTCATCACCTGGTAATCTCACGCTAACGTTACAGCTTCACCAATGACAGATATTAAAACAGTGACATAATGTTAATGTTCACTGACTTTTATAACGTTACGTTAGGTCTTCAGTTCAGATTAAACAGACGCACTGCATGTTACAATCATACTTAGCCTACTTTACCTCACTTCACACACACACACACACACACACACACACACACACACACACAGTCAAGTCTACTGCCAGCTCACACAAAATAAATAAGTTCATACACAACATACCATTTAACGCGGCCGCTGGTCTCCTCTTCTCTCCTTTTTGCCGCCTCTAGATTGTTGTTGTTGATGCTGCTGCGTCTGGTCATGCTTCCTGATAACATCTGTACATCATTCAACGTCTTTTCTGGCGATCCGTTTACTGACTACCGTAATGACTGGTGTTTGAGTCTGCAAGCATTTTTCCCCCATTCAATGTCAAAATCGGGGACATTTCGGGGACAGCTTTTGCCAGGGACAAGACACCCAAATTGGGGGCTGTCCCCGGAAATCGGGGACGTCTGGTCACCGTATCCTACTTGTGCTTTTGCACCACAACTTAACTACAACACTCCTGCTTATCCATTTTGTCCTCAACAATGGAAGACGAGAGCGAGAAGAAAAGGCGAACGAGTGTATGGACCTTTCCTTCCAGCTTATGCCATTCACGCCAGCCAGAGCCCCCCAGAGTCCCCCAGAGTCTGTGAATGAAGGCACGAAGCCAGTTCTGCTGTTCTCCCCATTTGCCATAACCATAACAACCCAGGATTCCTTGCGAATTGAGCATGTGCAGATGTAACTGAGTATTCTGGTACGGGGCATTTTCTGATTCAGGTGTATACATGTCACAATATTCTGGTTAAAACAGGCATATGCCAGGGGTCTTATTTGGAATATTCTCCAACCGGAATATGACCTAATCGAGTTATGCACTTGTTTACATGACTCGTGCGCAACCAGAATATTGAGGATATTCCAAATAATTCAGGAATATGGTGTGCATGTAAACGTAGTCAATGAGTCCCTGAGAGGAAGGCTCTGACTGTTGTATGTGCCTATGAACCAAACAGCAGTTCAGGAGCCTCCTTGGAGTCTGTGCTTGAAAACCTGTTGCCACCAGAACCAGGTCATGGACAAGAGGTGAAAAAGCAGATGGATTGATGTATGGATGGACAGACTAAATTCTTTTAAATCAATCCCCCTGTAAAGCTGTGAAATATACTGTATTCTAGCTTAAAACAATTACTGAGTTAAAATAATTTTGTTGAATTACTATCCAGTGCATTTCAAGCATGCCAACGGGTGTACTCAACCCCTGCAACCCTGGTGTAGTTAAGCCTTTTCATACAGGCACAAATATCTTTGTGGCTTTTTCACAAAGATATATACAAATTATTTTTATAGTGAGCATTTACAACCTTGCACACTAACACGTTGGAACACTTATTTGCTGTTGATTTCACACATGCATAAAGAGAGGACCGACCAATAAAATCCTTGAGATGTCAGATTCACCAACCAAGAATCCCACACAGTTCACACGTCCAAGTATTTGAATAGGGAGAGTTACTGTGAGTGCTTTCCACAGTACTGTGGATAATCTGTTGCAAAGTAGTGTCTTTTGTAATACATTAGATGACAGTTATGTAACAATACAGTTTTTTTCAATATACAAAGCATACACTTATTCAGTTTAGGTTCATTTAGCTAAATCAGTGCAGTCCAATTCATGAAAGCCACAATGCTCAGTCCCTGTTGAATCTGTTCCAGTTTGACTCAACACTATGACTGTCCTGCAGGCTGTTATTGTTAGAGGTGTTGATATTTGGTCTACCTTCATTGATATAAATTAGCTGGATAAAACATTGGACCATACACCTCACTACAACAGTTTCAACAAAAACTTAAAATTACAGCCTTCACAAAGGTTACTGTAGCTGCCGGACCAGACATCAGCCCCAGCTGGGTATATC